CCCAGGACTGGCCTCCCCTCCCTGCCAGGAACCCCAGGCACTGACTCAGCAACCCCACCTGGCCTCTGTCTTCCCGCCTCCCCTCTCTAGGTTAAAGGGCAAGAAAGGTGATTGACGTTGGGGGATTTACTTTGAGTCTCTTTCCTAAATTCCGAGTCACTGGAAATAAATCAGGCCTGGTCCTGAGAGTCCCACCTGCTTGGGCCTGGTCTGATTTGGCCTCATCTCATCAAGCCAGACCTATCCTGAGCGGGCTTCGCATGCCAGGCCAGGGGCACATGTAGCCTCTCAGCCTCCTGTTTCAATTTGCCCCAGGGGCCAGGCAGAGAGAAGCAGGGCAGGGTGGGGTTCTGCCAGGGAGCCCCCAGCAGCTCGCCTTGGCTACCCAGGCAGGACCCAGCGAGCCCGGGGTTCCCTGGGACAGAACTGGCCACGGGCCTCCGTGATTCCCGCCGCGCAGGACTGCTCCATCAGGAGGAGGCGAGCAGCTCCTCACTGGGGTGGTGCTGGCTGCCTTCCAGGCCACAGGAGGCTGAGATTCCCCTGAAACTGAGAGCTAGCGACACAGAAACAAACCAGCATGCTCCGCCCAGGAGGCATTTCCAGAAATTGGGGCCCTGGCTTCTTGCTGATGAAATGCCAGATTATCCCGGACCTCTCTTTGAGGCAGGGAGGCAGGGAGCACATTGAGCAATAGGTGTTTTGTTTTGCAGATGACAAGATTTTCAACACTGAGAAGTTTAAATGATAAATACAAGAACCTTGACCAGCTCCCCACCCCTACCCTGGAAACGGCTGTTTTGAGCTTCAGTGCCTGGCAAATTTGTTTTCCACAACCTTCAGCTTCTCTGGGCTTGCCCCCAGCCCCAGCCACCTCAGGTCCCTGGTGCAGGAAGACCCTGGCAGGGCTCCCACCTGCTACCCGGCCACGAGAAAAGATGTCTTCTGAAGCACAATAAAGTTTTATTGGAAATACAGCCACGCTCGTTAGCATTGGTCACGGCGGCTTTTGTACCAGATTGGGCTGTTGCCACTGAGGCCACCTGGCTCACAAAGTGTAAAGTGTCTACTATTGGACCCTTGAAGGAAGCATTAGCCAGCCCCTGCTCGGGAGGAACCGAAGCCTGCCTTATGCCAGGGAGGGTTGGTGTCAGGTCCTAGTTTGGAAGGGCATCAAGGACTGGGAAAGCTCAGAGTACATCTCAGGGAAAATGAAGGCAGAGAAAGCCCTGTTGGCCTGAAGGGAGACTGAGGGCTCAGGTAAACCAGCCCCCAAAGGTAGAGCTGAGCGGCCAGGTTTGCAAACTGACCTGTGGCAGCAGGTCAATAAATTACCAGGAGGCTAAATCACCGTTTCTCCCCCCGTGGTGGAGAAACACAGACCCACAGGCGGGAAGCTCCAGAGCTCACCACCTGCTCATGTGCGATCATTCAACAGGGGTGGGCCGAGCCCGCTTCTGTTGGCAGGTCCTCCTGTTTGGGGTGCTCAGAGCACACAAGGCGCTAGGGGCACCCATTCTGGGGGGTGAGGAGCAGGGAGACAAAATGCAGAGTAGGGAGTGGGAAGATGGGCAAAATGGGTGAAGGGGAGTGGGAGATACAGGCTGCCAGTTATAGAACGGGTAAATCATGGGGCTGAAAGGCACAGCATAGGGAGGCAGGGGAGGGTGTTGCAATAGTGTTGTATGGTGCCAGGTGGTAGCCACACTTGTGGGGAGCAGGGCACAAAGTATAATGGAGAGATGGAATCACTGTGTTGTACCCCAGCAACTAATGTAACATTGTGTGTCCACTGTACTTTGATAAACACACACACCCAGAACAATAAACCAATAAATGAGATTAGATCACAGTATGTAATAGGCAGAATGAATGGGGCCAGGAGGTGTTTGTAGGGGAAGCACAGAGCTCAGAAGGATGAGAGGAGCTGTGAGCAGATAGAACAACTAAGCAAAGATCCTCAGGCGGCAACGTGTGTTGTGTGTGTGCATGTGTGTGTGTGTGTGCGTGTGCTGGCGGCGGGGGGTGGGCTTGAGGGATTGAGAAAAGGCAGGCTGGTGAGGCTGGGCAGTGACCAAGTGGAGGAATGGAGGCAGAGACCCCAAGGCTGGCTTCATCCCGTCCTCGTCCCTAAGCTACGTTCCCTATGAAACAAGAGTGGGCTTCTCCAAAGGAACTGATCGGCGACAGAGTTGCTCATCGCTGGAGGGAGAAGATGGACGGGCACACCTCCCCCTCCTTGCATTTCCCAACAGCCCTGTGGCTGAGAGAGACCCTTGCGCACAAAGTGGGCTCCGGGAGGAGGGGCTTTCCGCTCGCATTGACAAGATTTTCGGTTCGGGTGTGAATCACAGACAGTGAGGCCCGGGCCCTTGGCTCAGGATTTCCTGATGTTTCCTGCCCGGGAGAACAGCCTTGCTATCAGGGGCAGCAGCCCACCACTCCCTGACGTCAACCCTCCTTCCAATGAATGCATTTCCTTTTCCGTTTGGGAAGACCTGGTATCTGTCATCAGTCCCATCAACTCTGCCATTCTAACCCTGGCACCTCCTGTTCGGGAAGGAGCCAGTGAGATTAACCAGAAGGCAGTGGGTGAGGGCAGGAGGGTGGGGTGGGGTGGGGGGCTCAGCAGATGGGCTTTCAAGCCACCGGGGAGTTTCAGGGGGCAAGTGCCTTCTGGTCCGGGGTCATCAAGGTGTGAGCGGAAAGCCCAGCATTAGTAGTGGTATCTGCCCTAACTGCCGGCCCTCCAAGCCGCTTGGGGCACTCCCACGCCTCCTCTCTGGGCCACCTGTGGCACCTGAGAGTGTCTTACCTCTTCTGCTTGCTCCCACGAACCCGCCCAGATGCGATCTCCTGGTGGAAAGTGTTTATGTTGTCATCGTGTAAAAAAAAAAAAAAAGATTGCTCAATTTCTGAAAACCATTATTTAAAATTTTTGTAACTTCTCAATGTGCACATCTTAGGGCAAAGTCATGGTTGCCTTGTTTTGGTTGTACCTCTGACAGTTTCAAAATAGACATGAAGGCCAGAGGCTCTAGCTGTGTGGCTTCAGAAGCGACTGGGTCATTGCTTGCTGTTTATACGTAATGAAAATACTCACTAGTTTAACTTACCATGCTGTAATAACACCGTGTGTTAGTCTGATTTATTTTGTTTTATTTTAAAGATTCTATTTATTTATTAGAGAGAGAGTGTGAGTGGGAGCATGAGCAGGGGTAGGAGCAGAGGGAGAGGGAGCAGACCCCTTGCTGAGCAGGAAGCCCGATGGACAGACGGACAGACCACTTGGGGCTCGATCCAGGGACTCCAGGATTATGACCCCAGCTGAAGGCAGACGCTTAACCGACTGAGCCACCCTGGTGCCCCAGTACAATTTATTTTAGATCAGAAATTCCCAATGGGACAGTACTGCGGTTGTTTGTCTCACTTAATACCTTACCCGGCAATCACCACATAGAAAAAGAAACTGCCAGTTTTTTTCAGGATGGGTAGGATGCTCCTGTGGTCACCGCTGAGCATCATGGTGCAGGCATTCAGCAACTTGACTCTGCAACCACCCCGTGTCCCAGGAGCTGTGCAAAAATGGAATCATGCAATGGATGGTCTCATTCTAGTTACTGGAAATTAGGAAATTTGATGATTCACCACTTCTAACTTGGAAGAGTTGAATCAAATTCCACCTTGTGTTTGTAACGCTATCTAAACGTAAAGGAAAAATTAAAACAATCTGAAATGCTTGTTGCTTGTAAACTACTTGGAAATTTTTGAATAGCACCAAATAGACAATGTTAGCATTTTGATGTATTTACTTTCAGTCTGTCTGTACACAATACTCCCTCCAATTTTTAATTTTCCCAATGAGATAAGCTCTATACTACTCTTTGGAAATTTGGATTTTACACTTCATGTCATTAAACATTCTTCTGGGACGTAATTCTTTTTTTTTTTTTTTTTAAGATTTTATTTATTTGAGAGAGAGAGAATGAGAGAGAGCACATGAGAAGGGGGAGGGTCAGAGGGAGAAGCAGACTCCCTGCCGAGCAGGGAGCCCGATGCGGGACTCGATCCAGGGACTCCAGGATCACGACCCGAGCCGAAGGCAGTCGCTTAACCAACTGAGCCACCCAGGCGCCCCTGGGACGTAATTCTTTATGGATGCACAGTCTTCCAACATAGTGATGCACCGTTATTTATTTCACTATTTCACCAACTTCCCCACTGTTGATTGTTTCCACTTTTTTTTTTTTGGTTATTGTTAAATATTTTATTTATTTATTTGACAGAGAGAGAGAGAGAGGCACAAGCAGGGGGAGCGGCAGAAGGAGAGGGAGAAGCAGGCCCTTCGCGGAGCAGGGAGCCCGATGCGGGGCTCAATCCCAGGACCATGCGATCGTGACCCGAGTGGAAGGCAGACGCTTCACCAACTGAGCCCCTCAGGCGCCCCTGCTTCCACATTTTTGGTATCACGAACGATGCCAAGATGAACATTCCTGCAGGGCGCGTGTAACTGACTTCCTTGGGATACCTGGGTGAACGTGGAATGCGGAATGTATTGCATTCCTTGAACCCTCACAACACCCCCCTGGGACAGGACAAGTAGGATGTGACGATCTCCCACCGCTCTATCGGCTCCCAAGTCTCAGTCCGTGTGGGTCAGCCGAGGAACCCCATGTTTCGTATCAGAGTCATTCCACCCTCCCCTCCCCCGCCCTCAGGACCCTGCAACGTCTTCCTTTCGAAGATCAGCTACAGGAGGTGCTCCTTTTACCGTACGCTCCGTGGCCGGCCCCGCGCACCTGCCCGCGAGCTTCGGTGCTGGTCGTGACCCGTTGGGCGCGAGGCCAGCAGGCTCAGGAGCGCGGAGGTGGGAGGGTGGGACGCAAGAAGCTCAGACCGCTGCGCCTGCGCCCTGAGCGCCGCCCGCACACCTGCGCCCGCCCCGCCCCCTCCCCGTGTCCGCGAGCGCCGCTGTCAATAAAGTTCTTGCGCGCCGGAAGCGGAAGCGCCGAGTCTCCATGGCGGCGGCGGCGGGGCCGGTGCTCTGGAGGCGGCTGCTGGGCCTGCTGCCTGGCCGCCCGGGGCTGGCCGCGCTCCTCGGGCGCCTGTCCGACCGTCTGGGCAGGAACCGGGACCGCCGGTGCAGGAGGTGAGAGGCGGCCGGGCCTGCCGGGGCGGGGGCGCGGCCGCGGCCCTGCCTCCCTTCCGCGCCGGGAGTGCGCTCACGCGGGGGGCGGGGCGGGAACCGAGCGCGGGCTCCCCGGGGGCCCCCGGCGGCGGGCGTTGGAGGGTCTGTGGCGCGAGACGCCGCTTGCGTTCTGAGGGGAGATCTTTTCCTTGCCGGTCCTGGCTGCCGGGTGGCTCGGCCGGGGTGAATCAGCCCGGCGGGGATCGTGTGCGTGTAGCGCTTCGCACATCCTGCGGGAGAGGGCTGTGAAGCAATCCTGAGTCAGGGACTCTCAGGCCAGGGAAGAGGAACCACTCGGAACCCCCTTCACACTTTTCAAAGGGCCTGTGTTCTGGAAAAGTACTGAAGTGAGTTACGTAAGTGGTGGAGGAGGCTTTGAAGCAGTTTGTTCAGGCAGTGGTCTTTCAAAGTCAACATTTGCCAAGAACATGCTGACCTAAGAGGCCTGTTGTTATTGCTAATGTTACAGGAAAAAAAAAAAAAGATTTCTTGTGTGCAAATGGTTTTCTTATCAGAGAGACTCAAGCCTTACACTTGACCCTTTAAAAGAAAAAAAAAATCAGATCTTAGACGTGCATCCTTTAGAAGAGTTTGCATTATCTTAGATTTTATCTGTGCTACTTGGGTGAAGTAGGACCTCCTGGCTTTGTGCACAGATCTGTGGTCCAGTCATGCGTGCTGTTTCTACTTATGGGAAGGAACTTGCTTCATACTGTTACAGTGGGTTACGGTGGATGATTTTCAGCAGAAATTCGACTTTGGTTCAGGGTAACTTTTAGGTGATAGCATGAGTATGGAGCCCTTCAGAAGCTTGCTGATCAGAATGGCTTTAAGTTTCACACCAGCGAAACCAGGTGGGGGCGGGGCCGGGGAAGAGGCGGCCTCTGCATTTTCTGTAGTTGGTGCTTAGCCAAGACCTGGCCGTTGCAGTGGGTGGTGAAATCAGATGACTTCTACGTCTTGGCATCAAACCACTGGGAAATTTGGTTTAAGGTTTCAAGAAATGTTCTCTCCTCAAAGATGATGTGTTCAGGCAATTTTGTCATTTCCCTGTATGTGTTTAAACGACAAAAACCACTTCATTGTTAATTGTTCACCATTGGAATTAACTACTAAGGGATGTTGGGGCAATCTCCACAAATTCTTTTGAAAAAGACGTTTCTCTTGAGTGTCTCTTTCCAGTGGTGGGGGGAGAAGAGCAGTGTGGCAGTGGGAGTAGTCTAAACTGATTCCCCGAAGTCCTTTTTTGTAAATGGATGCGGTAGGTGTGACACCATATTTCTTTTTGATGAAGCTGAGAGAGAGAGTTGTATCTCTGGGTCAACAATTAAACCAGAAACTCACTTAAACACAAGTTTTGTGTTTTGTTTTATTTATTTATTTATTTATAATTTAAATTTAATTAGCCCAACATATAGTACATCATTAGTTTTTGATGTAGTGTTCATTGATTCATTAGTTGCGTATAACACCCACTGCTCATCACATCACGTGTCCTCCTTAATGCCCATCATCCATTTACCCCATCCCCCCAGCCACCAAGTTTTGTGTTTTAAAGAAATCTGTGGGCGCCTGGGTGGCTCAGTCAGTTAAACTTCTGCCTTTGGCTCGGGTCATGATTCCAGGGTCCTGGGATTGAGCCCTTGGAGTGTGCTTTTCCCTCTACCCCTCCCTCCCCTGCTCATGTTTTCTCGCTCTCTCAAAAATAAATAAAATCTTAAAAAAAAAAAAAAGAAATTTGTGTTTTATAATCCTTAGAATGGTTTGCTAGGACTGAAGATAAGTGCTTTGACCAATGCTGTTACAACGCTGTAGCTTTCTGACTTTTTTTTTTTACCCCCTTCCTCTTGCCTTATTCGGTTATTCGGTCTGCACATTTACCCGACTCTGTGGCTTGGTGTTTGGGGTTTCTCTGGTCTGTATGGCCATTCATCCTATATTGGCTGCTGACTTTCGTTTCTCCTCCATTAGTTGTACCTCACAACTCCTCATTCCCTGAATGGTGTGGTTTCTTGTAACTCTGATCGTTGATAATAGTTCTGTGTAGTCATGAGCTTAGACTTTGTCAGATTTTAGCTTGCCAATCTGACTCACCTGTTGGAGTACCTGATGAACCCTCGTGGCTAACGAGAGGGGTGGAGAGAGGGTTCTTTCATTGCAGTGGTTTCTTTGTTACAGAGACAGCCAGAGTGACAGAAAATGCTACTTAAAATTACTGCCAATTAGTGATCTAGAAATGCTGTTGTTTTTCTCTTGAGCAGGCATCTGACTCATTATCACTATGGACCTCTGGGCTCATTCCTTTATTCAGCATGCGTGTGTAGAGCACTGCTGTGCTAGGTACCAAGGAAGCAAAGATAAAGACCTTGCTCCATCTTCAAGATGCTCAGACCCATAAGCTGGCAGTAATAGTAAGGTGAGGTGGAAGGTCATGGCCGCACCTGAGAGGCACAGCAGGAGGTCACAGAAGGCTTCCTGGTGGGGGTGATCTCAGAGCTGTGTTTTGGAGTGTAGGAGTACGCTGGGTAGAGAAGGGGGAGCTGGTGTTCAGGGAAGGGTGGTGAGTGGTGTGGGCTGATGATTGTAGCAGCAAAGGTGGAAGGCAGTTCTCAGGTGCCGCAGGTACTCAAGTCATTTCCAGGAGCCGACTGGGGGTACTGAGTAGGGATGGGAGGAAGCAGAGGGAGGAGCCGGGAGCAAGCTTGTCCTCTGGGCTGAGACCCAGGGAGGCAAGCTCTGAGATTGCTTGTTCAGTTTCCTTTGATGGTGGTCTAGGCCTGAGGTGTTGCAGAGTGGAAGGGATTAGAGTCAGCTCTGGTGGGGGAGGTGTAGGGGGACTTGGGTGACTGCATGGATGGAGTCACACATCATTACAACAGGGTTAAGAAAGGACTGGGCTTGGGGGGGGGTGACGATAAGGTGAGTTTGGGCGTGTTAACTAGGATCCAGGTGCGTCTGAGTGGAGGTGTCATGTGCAGCTGACTGACAGATCTGGAGCTCGGGGACGGGGAGACGGCACCTTGAGGTGGTGTTTAGGAGTCCTCAGACTCCACGGAATTGACTCATTTGGAGTAGATGGGACTGAGTGGGAAATGTGTCAGGAGGGCAGGAGTTCCTAATCTTGAGCTTGCCTGCCCTAGACGGACGTATTTTCTTTGTGGCCTCCTTCTCTAAAAAACCCAAACGAACGCTTTTCAGGTTGAGCTATATGTGCAGAAAGGGCTTTATTTTTGAAACTCAAGTCCTATTTTCTCTTCGAGGTGTGTGTGTGTGAGTGAGTCAGTGTGAGGGGGTGAGGGGCTTCTAACTTCCCTGAGTTATTAGAGGGAGACAGACAACCAGAAGACTGTTCTTTCAGTTAGATGTCTGATGTCATAGTGACAGGTCGGCATACTCCAGTTCAGCTTGTTAGTAGTTTCCGCTCTGAGGGACCACCACATTTCCAGAAATTACTTCTTCTTTGAACTTTGTGATGCTTCTTACTTGTTAGAGTTTAGTAGAGCCGTTTCTTGGCTTATTTATAGTAGTAGAATGGGTGGGAGGGGGATATTTAGAATCAAAGCATAATTTCTCCCAGTAATTCAAATTTGATCTTGCAGGGATTGGAATAAGATTTACAACAGACAGATTTTTAAAATTGTAGCTTTATTTTATTTTTTTAAAGATGCTATTTATTTGATAGAGAGTGAGAGTGCGCGCACAGGCAGGGGAGTGGCAGGCAGAGGGAGAAGCAGGCTCCCCGCTGAGCAGGGAGCCCGAGGCGGGACTGGATCGCAGGGTCCTGGGATCATGACCTGAGCCAAAGGCAGATGCTTCACCAACTGAGCCACCCGGCGCCCCAAACTGTAGCTTTATTGAGTTCATATTAATATGAGTATCCCCTGAACACATTGCATCTGGTGATGAATTAGGCTGGGTCAGTCAGTTGTGTGCTCCTAGAGAGATAGCAGCTAGCCTGGGATTAAAGTGTTCTGATAGATAATCCACTTGTAAACATGTGATCTGATTCATGTAAACGAGTTCTTTTCAAGGCTGCTGGGAAGTACGGTTGGTCAAAGCCTTTGGATTAGTAGAACATGTGATTGGTTCTCGTCAGGCACTTTGCTTTGCCTGCTGCTTGGGCCACCCGAGGTGTATTGTGGGTTATGTTAACTTTCTGGCCCCTGGATGTGATCGACTTCCTTTTGGGCAAGTCAAGAGGACAGTCATCTGGTCAGCATGTAGTCAGATGCTGGTAGCCTGGCCTCCCATGCTGGACTTCTTGTGGGAGTTCAGTGGGCTGTTGGTCTTTTGTAACCTACGGGAATTCACACTCACTTCCCTTTCTTGGACTTGGTGTTGCGTTAGTCAGGAAGGGCCGCCTGCTGCCGGGGACGCAGGAAGTGTGGTTCCTTCACGTAGTTTGTTGAGCTCTTCTCAGGAAGTGCTGTGACTGTTACTCTTTTCTCCTTAGCTCACTTTCTGACGTTTAAGTTTAAGTTCATGACTGAGGGGGGAGGGTGGGTTTTTCTTAAAGAGTAGTTTCTGAAAATATTGCAGTCCACAGAACTTAGTTTCTTTTTTTTTTTTTAAAGATTTATTTATTTATTTGAGAGAGCGAGAATGAGAGAGAGAGTACATGAGAGGGGGGAGGGTCAGAGGGAGAAGCAGGCTCCTCGCTGAGCAGGGAGCCCGATGCGGGACTCGATCCCAGGACTCCGGGATCATGACCTGAGCCGAAGGCAGTCGCTTAACCAACTGAGCCACCCAGGCGCCCCGAACTTAGTTTCTTTTAAGAACTCCTTTTTTCATCGTTTTGTACAGAGTTGGATGGGACCCAAGCCACAAAGCTTGTACCACGAATCTTATCTTATAGTTCCAGAAGAGCCCATGGATTCAGAGCATGACGGAGCCCATAGCGGGGGCCACTTAGTTAATGCCCCGAGTATGGTACTGGACAGAGGGTAGAACTTCCATACTGTCTGTTGAGGATTTTTGCTTCGTGTAGGAAGATGGTCCTCCCACATCACTGTGTTCTTTGTTCAGAGCCCAAGGTGCCCCCTTTTGAAAAGACCCTAAGAGGTTGGCCAGCTTACTTTTTTTTCCCCCACTGGGTGGTGCGTGACACTCTGCGGCCCCTGAGTATCAGACCTGTGTCCTCTGAGGGGGAGAGGCCTTGGAGGGGATGTGTAAAGGTAAAGTGTAGACCTGGGTGTAATTATCTAGTATTTGCCTTTCCATTTCTTCTTCTTCTTCATCTTTTTTTTTTTAAGAGAGGGAGGTGGGGGGTGGGAAGACGAAGAGAGAGAGAGGATCTTAAGCAGGCTCCACACCCAGCACGGAGCCTGACATGGGGCTTGATCTCACCAACCTGAGATCATGACCTGAGCTGAAATCAGGTGTCAGATGCTTAACTGAGCCACCCAGGCGCCCCTGCCTTTCTTTATTGGCATCTCACCACTGGCCACAGAGCTTGGTTGGACCTCCAGGCACATTGTTGCACATCCAGACAAAGGAAAAATGCAAGGTGTGCCAGTATTTTTCCATGGGGCACACGCAGCTTCAAGATGTTTGGTGAAATGGAAAACTCCTGTCTCCCCACAAAAAGGAGAAATACCTTCTCTTTCCCCTGAGGCTCCCTGTGTCAATAGCTGTGTTTGGTCGTGTCTCAGTGGCTCTTTTGCTCTGTTTCCAAGTGGCTGATTATTCTGAACTCAAGTCCCACTGCCTTCCCATGCCTGGCAGGAGGGGTGGGCTGCCCTGTCCCACCAGGACTGCCCTGGGGGTCAGGTAGGCTTTCACTGTCTTCACTTAGTGGTGGACCCCATCCAGGGGCTCAGGGACAAGAGCATCCTTAGTCAAGGCAATTCAGATGTGGATTTCTCTTAGAGATGGTGGGAAGAAACTTCCCTCCTCTCCGTGCCTCCCTCCCTTCATGCTGCTTGTGCTAGAGTCACCCTGAAGCCTTGCCATCACCCCACCTGCACAGGTCTCTCCCTGGGTAGAGGAAGGGCCCCAGGCCAGGGGTGTTCAGCACTCAGACCCAGCCTGCTCCCCAGTGTAGGGATTTTGCAGATTCCACGGGAAGCCTTAAATCCTGTGGCTGAACCTCAGAGTCAGGTGTCCCATGGGTGGCTGGAGCCTGCCCTCACAGAGCCCGCTGGTTCCTTTCACCAGTTCCTGTCGGCTGGGGACCGGTTTGCATTGTTTGCTGTTGCCGCCTCTGCCACCGGCTTGCCTGAGCGTCCCTAGGCGCTTGCCCTGGCCCTGTTCTCCAAACTTCCATGATATTCCTGAGTCGGCAGAAGCTATTATCTGGTCCCCTGCCCCCCACCACTTCCTCTTCTTTGTAACTAGAAACGGGAGCTGGATGCTCCTAGAAAGATGATTCAGGGGAGTCCAGGTCTAGATATGGAAACTGTGTGTGTGTGCCGGTTTAGTTCTCTGAATGGCATGTGTGACACGGCTCTGCTTTTTTGGTGAAGTAACCACAGCTCCTCAGCTCTCTCGGGGCTTCGGTTCCTGACCTGGGACGTGTGGTTTCTTAGTAAGCCTCCCTGGGGTGAGGGGACTTGCCTGTGCAGGTGGTCGCCCCTGGAGACTGGGGTGACTGTGCGAGGGTGGGGGGTTGCTGCCAGCACCCGGAGCAACCTTCTCTGGGAAGATTCCCGGGAGTTAGGTTGTGGAAAGCAGGAACTAACCCCCCAGGGGCTTCTGGCTGAGGCGAAGGAAAAAAAAATGAGCCCCTGAGCGGACTTGGGCTTTTCTGCTTCTGCCCCGGCCGAGGCGCTCCAGTTAGATTTTGAGTGCCACCCGCCCAGGTGTGGTCTCCCCCACGCCCGTGCTGTCACTGGGGGGACCTTCAGAAAACGCTCTGCTCCTTCTCAGAGCGCCTTCCTCTTCGGGTGTCTAAAACTGCTGCTTAGGTTCGGGTCTCCCCCTCCACGACTCCCTGCACCTAATTGGCTTTCAGCTCCTTCTCCTCTCTAGCAAAAATAAACCTGTCAGTACACAGATGAAACAGGAAGCCAACATAAAAAAGCCTTCAACAAATCTTGGACAGAGGCCCTGGTGGAGCATTCCCAGGGAGAGCTGCCTGGCAGGGACGAGGCCTGCCCACGGCCGCCCGGGGCCCTGAGCCCGGCCCGCCGCAGCCTGCCCGGTGCGTCTCCAGGGCAGGCTGGGGCGGACGGTGGGCCCTGGGTCCGTGTGTCCTCTGGACTGGCTGTGGGGACCCTCCTGGGCTTTCCCGTGGATGGCAGTGCTCGCCAGCGCCCACGGCTTAAATTTGCTCAGCCCCCTCCTTGCCTGGAGCAGCCCCTCCGCTCGCCCTGCCTCACCACTCCAGGGAGGGTGTCCTCAGGCCTCCCCGGCTGCTCGGTGCCACCAGCTCCCCTTTCCTGTTACTTGAAGCACACATGCTGCACATTTCGACCTTCAGTTCGTGGTGGCATTTTCCTCTTCCATCATTCTTAGATGGTTTCAGGTGTGTAAGCGTGTGAGGTCGCCAGGTTCATGGGGGCCGGGCTGCTCTTCCCTTGTGCCCCCCACAGGACGGAACAGCGCTCACACGATGCCTGGGGTCGCAGCCCGAGCCTCCACTTGCCCTCTCTGGGTCACTGTGTGCCGAGGATATGTCTCCGCAGCTTCCTTTTGGGGAGCCCATTGGAGTCTCCTGGCCCAGGGGAAGGATGCGGGACTGACGGCGTGGTGGTGGGGGGGTGGGTTTTAGCGGTCGCTCTGGTTCTTTTTCATATGGGCTGAGAGAGGTAAGTGCCGTGAGGCTGGGAGATCCGTTGGTGTGGCGCTGCTGTGGGGTTTTCCACCTCAAATAGACCATGTTTAATTAATGAATATTAGACTTTAAGCCCCCTCTGGGGCTTCACATTGATAGAATGTTGTGCAGACTTTCCCATTGTCTCGTGGTTTTCCATTGGACTGAAGGATCTTTCCCTCTCCTCCTGGAAGTTAGCTTTGAGCACAGCAGGAATAAGGCCTACAGTTTGGGAAATCGAGGCAGCAATCCCTAGTTTACGCATCTAAGCCTTTCATTTGCAAGCTGCTGCTCATCGCCTGGAAGCCAGAGAACCTTAGCAAGCTGGTCCCCCTGAGTGCCGTCACCCCCTCTCTGAAACAGCGAGAAAGCATAGCTGCTCTGCCCACTCTGCACCGTGGGGCCCCAGGCCAGCCCCCGGCTTCCCAGGATCTAGAGAGCTGCTACCTTCAACCGTTGACTAAAGTTTTCTTGGCAGTGAGTCGGCTGGGACAGACCAGTGGGCTTTCTGGGAAGCACAGCTGTGGGCCATCTGGCGTCTGTGTAGGGACGTTTGCAGGGCCCTGGGAAGATTCTGCGCTTTATCATGAGGCAAGTGAATGAAGTCATCTTCCTGGAATCTGTGACCCTTCAGGCCTTGGGGTGCGCAAGCGCCCTTTCCCGAGTTCCTCTCAGAGCTGCAGTAGAAGGGCATGCACTGCAGAGGATTTTCCTGCTGCTGTTTGCTGGAATTGAGAATAGGGCCGGGCTTGTGTGGGGCTCTGGGTGTGTTGCCCCTCCCTGGTCTCTATGGAATGGGGGGGTCGCAGCTGGTGGGCAGCGGATGTGTGGTTCCATGGGCAGGACCTTGGTTGCTGCTGTCTCTGCCTAAGTGGAGTGGAGCCGGCTGCGGGGGCCAAGGGGTGCAGCTTTATGCGGCGTGAGCCCCGAGGACGACGTGTCTAGGGCTGAGGGGGCAATTCTCGCCGCTGCCGAGATGGTGCCCCCTTCCCCCAGGCTCTTCTTCCTCCAGTTCTTCTCTCCACAGCCGAGTATTCAAGAGAAAACTTAGTTATTCTGGGTCCTTCCCTAAATAAAAGCCTCGTTTATTGTCGCAGCCCTGTAGCTGGGGGCCTGGGTCGCAGTGGTCACCCTCATCCCAGACTCGCCCTGGCTCCAGGTGGCCGCCAGTGGCTTTCTGCAGGGGTTTGGTGCGGCAGCCCGGCGTTACCCGTGTGGTGGCTTCCATGAGTTTACTTGTGGCTGCTCTAGATTTGGAGCTGTCTGGAGCCAACTGCAAGCTGGGGTTTAGCTGTAGGCATTGGCACTTCTCAAGTTGCTCAATTAGTAGGGGCTGAAGGAAAAGCCCTTTTGCAGAGTTTGACTTGGGCTCACTTAAAATGGTCTAGAGAATCGGAAATTGGTTAAAAAAAAAATTTCCGTTCCCCTCCGTCCCCCCACCGGAGCTGAGAGAGACTTCTGAGGAAGTGTTGGAGAAGTATGACCCTTTGCGTGTCTCTTTAACCAGGTCACCATGGCTGCTGTTGGCTCCTTTGCTGTCCCCGACTGTCCCCCAAGTCACCTCCCCTCCTTGTTGCCTGTGTCCAGAGGGTGTGCACAGGTTCCAGTGGATCCGAAACCTGGTCCCAGAGTTCGGGGTCTCCAGCTCCCACGTCAGGGTGCTTTCTTCCCCGGCGGAGTTTTTTGAGCTCATGAAGGTAAGTTATGTGCGCGGGAGAGAGGGATGGACGCTGGAGTTAGAGGCTTGGGGGCCTGAGGCTGGGTGAGACCTCAGCAGAAGTGCCTTCTGTTCTGGAAGTTTCTGATGGCTGCTCGGCTTCTTGCTGTGGGTTCTTCTCCCTGTTAGGTTTCCAGCCTCACAAATGCTTGAGTTGTGCCGTCATCAGAGGCTCCTCTGCATGGCTAATGTCTCAGGTAGAGTAGCTCAGAGTGGGTGGGCAGTGAGGGGCAGCTCCTAGATTTTGATTCTTATGGACAGATGATTCCGTCGGTTCCATTGGAAGGGAGGTTAGTGAGGGCGGGTGGGCGTCCCTGCTAACGATGTCTGGGGAGAAAGGAACCTTATTCTAGTCACGGCACGACACACCCCTGCCCCTGCAAACATCTCCAACATAGCGGTTTCATCTTGGGAGGCGGGGCATACGGGGAATGAAGACCCAGCTGTGACCCATGGATGAGATTTGATGTGTAGGAAGTGGTTGGAATTCTCTTGTTCGGTGAAGAGGCTTTACGGATCACTGGAAAAGTTGGACACCTGGTTTTAGGCCTTATGATCCCTGTTCTTTCCTGTGACTTTTGTCTAAAGTTTGTGCCTTCTCTGAGATGCTCACCTTTGCATTTGGGGGGTTGAGCTTTCAGTACTCAGGTGTTTGTGGCCCATCTAGTTACTTGAGGTGAAACTGCTAATCGGAATAAGTAATTTGAAACTGATTAATTTTTTTTTAAAGATTTTATTCATTTATTTGACAGAGACAGACACAGCGAGAGAGGGAACACAAACAGGGGGAGTGGGAGAGGGAGAAGCAGGCCTCCCGCGGAGCCAGGAGCCCGATGCAGGGCTCAATCCCAGGACCCCGAGATCATGACCTGAGCTGAAGGCAGCCGCTCAACCAACTGAGCCACCCAGGCGCCCCAGCTGATTAATGTTTTAAAAAATATTTTAATTTATTTATTTGACAGAGACACAGTGAGAGAGGGAACACAAGCAGGGGGAGTGGGAGAGGGAGAAGCAGGCTTCCCGCGGAGCAGGGAGCCCAATATGGGGCTCGATCCCAGGACCCTGGGATCATGACCTGAGCAGAAGGCAGACGCTTAACCGACTGAGCCACCCAGGCACCCCGAAGCTGATTAATTTTTGTTAACATGAACTCTCTGGGTTCAAATTAGCAATGATGTTTGAATTAAGGTATGATGAGGTCAGACAGGCAGAATGGTAGTAGATAATAGGAAATACACGTAGAGATTAATTTTTCTGCAGAATGAACTGTACTTGATTCGAATACGTGTACATTCTCCTTTTGCCCTGTTGTTCTGTAGATCCACAGTTAGCTTAATTTCTGACTGGCTCTTTCCAGAATGCATTCTGCATGTGCGTGTTTGTGTCTGTCTGTTTATGTGTTCTCCCCACTTCCCTGCACTGCTCATCTGTCCTGTGCATCTTTTTTGTGGAGAACTTATGTTAAGGTGGTTTGCTCTTTGCTCCGACTTGGTTCTCTGTTTGGCTTGTAGAAACAGGTTTTGCAGAGGCAGTTCTTTGTGTTCTAGTCAACTCCGGGTGAAGGACTGGCTGAGTCTCTGCGTGGCCATCCCCATCTGCGCACCTGCCTGGGTGGGGCCGTGGAGGCAGGAAGGGCCCCAGGGTTTGGCCCAGCAGGCTGGGAGGAAGCCCTTCTCTCTTGCCCTTTGAACTGAGCCCTGGGCAGATTCTGACGCAGGGATTGCGCTGAGTGGGATGTATGTCTTCCCCGGGCCCACAGAGCAGCCTTGTTCCCTGAGAGGGGAGTGCAGCCTGCCGTCTGCCTGGCCTGCGAGCCCTTGCTGCAGTGCCTGAGCCGACGTGCCTTTTCCCAGAGTCACTGTTCCCTCTGTGTAATGGCGTTCCCTGCAGGCATCCGCTTCCCAAATAACCAAACAGAGGAGACGGTGGACTTGGGACATTCTCTCGTGCTTTCCTGGTCTGCAGGCCTTGTGCCAGCGTGTTGGTGTGTTTCTGTGGTCGGGGCGCCCCTCCTGTGCAGGCCGTGTGGGCTGTGGGTGCCGCATCCCTCCTGGGTCAGAAAGCAGGTGTGTGCCCTGCTTTCTGCCTCCCTCCTCCCGCGAGGTCTGGCCCTCCTGCCTCTCCTTCCAGAGCATGACCTTTGGCATGCTGCCCATCTTTCTATGCCTGTCACCCCCCTGGGGCAGGATGCTTCGAGCCCTGGAGGGGTCTATCGTTCCCCACGCTGGAGCAGGTCTAGAGAGAGCACTCTGCCTGTTGGGACTGAGGTGACACAGTCATCTTTGAGTGCTGGTCTGTTCTGTCCTTGTGCCTGGGGACCCTTCTGCGTTTCAGAGGAAATACGTGCCCGCTCATTGGGAAACCCAGCCACGTAGGTGCGGTCGAGGGCAGAGTGTCACGCACGTTGGCTCTCACACTCCCCTCCTCTGCTCTGACCTCAGGGACCGCGCTCTTGTGCCCTGCACGTGCCCCACGTGACACCCCCAGGTGATTTGCACCCGGGGCAGCGACTGCTTCCATCCCAGCAGTACGCTGTGGACATCGTGTCAGGTCACTGTCACACATCCTTCATTCTTTCAATGGCTGTGTTGTGTCTCGAACAGTTAGGTCGTGTCTTTCAGGGGGAGGGTTTTTTTTTAATTTGACAGAGACACAGCAAGAGAGGGAACACAAGCAGGGGGAGTGGGAGAGGGAGAAGCAGGCTTCCCGCCGGGCAGGGAGCCCGATGCGGGGCCCGATCCCAGGACCCTGGGATCATGACCTGAGCCGAAGGCAGACGTTTAACTGAGTCGCCCAGGCGCCCCAGGGGGAGTATTTTAAATTAGGATCGTGGGTCCTTATTTGTATGGTTACCATCAGCTTCAGATACCAGAAGTTGGGCCCGGAGCGTTACTTGTTAGGTTTCCTCAGTGAGCTGTGGAAGCCATGACTGTGACTCGTTTTTCCTCTTTCAGGGCCAGATCAAGGTGGCCAAGAGACGCGTGGTGATGGCGTCGCTCTACCTGGGGACGGGTCCTTTGGAACAGGAACTGGTAAGGTTTGAGGTGGGGTGGTCCCCATGGCAGCAGTGAATCGCCCTGCACCTCCGGCCGCACGGCGCCGTAGAGTTGGGGTTGAGCCGCCTTGTCTTGGCCCTCGCCTCACAGCCGCTGCTGGGGGTCGGCCCCGTCAGGAGGGCCAGTGAGGGGTGCGCAGGGGCGGGCGGCGCTCATCCTCGCTCTCACGTCCTCCCCACCCTGCACCGGGGTTCCGAGGCTGCTGTGTCTGCCGGTCTAGGGCTCAGCAAACTACGGCCCGCTGCCTGTTTTTGTATGGTCTGTGGGTTAAGAATGGTTTTTTCGTTTTCAAATGACTGGAAAACAAAAGGAGGAGCATATTGTGATACAGGAAAAGCCTGTGAAATTCAAATTTCTGTGTCCGTAAATAAAGCTTTATTGGAACACAACCGTGCTTGCTCACGAATGTATTGTCTGCATCTGTGCTCTTGCTGCAGCAGCAGAACTGAGTAGTTGTGACAGGGACCCTCTGGCCCCCAAGGCCCCGGGTATTTGCTGCCTGGCCCTTTGCAGAAAAGATTTTCTGACCCTGTATTAGACAAATGAACCGAAGCGCGGGTCGGGCTGGGGTCAGGTGCCAGGTCTGTGGCCTGTCTGTTCCCCCTGGGCTTGGTGTCACACCACACTTGTCGCCTGTCGTGAGATGGGCAGGGTGGGAAGGAGCAGACACCGCCAGTTTGCTCAGGGCGAGCTTCGTGTGGCGTGAGTCCAGCGCATGCTCTGGTGCGCGGGCGCCGTCTCTAGGCTGACTTAACGTGAGTGTGGGCGAGACTCTTGGGATGGCTTTCCACTCTGAGGCTGTGAAGTGGGCCTGAGTGTTTCTTGGGTTCCTCCTTGTCTGGACATCCACAGGTAGGAGCTAAGAAATGCCAGGGATTGGGTGCAGAGAATGGTGGGAAGGGGGGTCAGCAGAAGCACGTCTGTCCTCTCCTCTCCCTCCCTGGCAGGGAGGTCTCCCTCTGTCTTCAGGACACGCTTTTAGCTGCAAGCTTGGGAAGGCTGTTTGTTCTTCCGGGAGAAGAATGTCATGTCCAGCTCATGGAGAGTGGCCAGTGGGCAGGTTGTGTCTTGAATTCATTGGTTCAGCAAATATTTACCCAGGCTGTCCATGTGTAGGCACTGTTTGCTGTGTGGCTGTGGGGATTGTCTGTTGAAACATGAGAGAGCTCGCGTCTTAGAGAGCCTTTCCAAGAGTGGCAAGGTCCAGACTGCTTGGGTATCATGTCTCTGACCCACAGACCCTCTCTTCCTGAGAGGCCCGGCTGGACGAGGGTGCCACATGGCACCTTCTGGTTACTGTTACTGGTCTCAGAAGAAGTCTCATGGTGTTGACTCTTGAGCGCTCATGGTCCATGTGTGTGTTCTAAGAGGATGTGTGGGGGGGTGTGGGGGGCGTTACCTGGCAAGTTGATCCTTTTTTTTTTTTTTTTTTTAAGTAGGCTCCACACCCAGCATGGAGCTCAATGTGGGGCTTGAACTCACAACCCTGAGATCAAGACCTGAGCTGACAACCAAGCCGACAACTGACTAAGCCACCCACGTGCCCCTTAATCCGTTCTTTTAATATATAATCATCTTTTTCAGTCTTATACTTCTGTTCTTTTGGGGTTCTTTCCTTGATAGGTAGATTGCCTGGAAAGCACTCTGGAAAAGTCACTCCAAGCCAAGTTCCCTTCAGACCTCAAGGTGTCCATCCTCTTGGACTTCACACGGGGCTCAAGAGGTGGGTCTGGTGCACTCCCTGCCTCTGACGTTTCCTTTTTCAGAGCCCTTGTTCAGGAGTACGCTCCCCCCCCCCCCCCCCCCCCAGCAAAGGCAAGGATGTTTGAAGATAGCCCCCAGACTGCCTGGGTTGTCCATCAGCATTCCTTCTGTAGCAAGTGACTGGAAGCTCAAGAAAAAACAACTTGGGCAAAAAAGAGGCAGTTTTCAACTCCCATGACTGACCTGCTTTGGGTGGGTCATGATCTGGGGGTTTGGCTGGTCACCAGGGCCCATCTGCTGGCCCTCCCTTTTTTTTTTTAAATTTCTGTGGTTTTATTTTTTTTTTAATTTTTTTATTTTTTAAAGATTTTATTTATTTATTTGACAGAGAGATATAGTGACAGAGGGAACACAAGCAGGGGGAGTGGGAGAGGGAGAAGCAGGCTTCCTGCTGAGCAGGGAGCCCGATGCAGGGCTCGATCCCAGGACCCGGATCATGACCTGAGCTAAAGGCAGACGCCTAATGACTGAGCCACCCAGGCTCCCATGGCCCTCCTTCCTTTGGGCTGGCTTTATTCTCAGACTCTGTGTGGTGGCCTGTGGAAGCCCCAGGCCCATCTGGCCATGACATTTTGTCCATCGGAAGAGAGTCTGCTTCCCGAGGGTCAGACCGAAGCTTCTGAGTGGCCTGCCATGGGCCGTGCACCGGGCGTGTGCTGACTGGCCCAGTCCAGGCCTGGGTGCCCTCCTGTGGAGCTGGGGTTTGAGTTTAGGGAGGGTAGAGCCATCATTACCCAGAGTAGGAACGCCAAGAGTGGAGTAGGGTGGTACCCCTAGGAGGAGGTGGGGTATGGTTCCCAGGAGAGGAGGGCGAATGGGTGCTGGGTGCTAAAATGGCAGATGTCTGCTGCCCCGACCACCCCAGTCTTGTTCTGAGACATGTTGGTGTCTAGAGCAGAATTTGGTCTGAGGTCCTCCGGCTCGCCATTGTGCCAGGTGTTCTGGCTGATTTGGATGGGCAACGCAGGCAAATGTGGGCCCATGGTAGGCGGTTCCTCCCCGGCAGGCACAGTATCTTTTCTGATGTGAATCGCCGGTCCTTTTTCTTTTGCTCACCCCTGTATTTAGGTAGGAAGAACTCCCGCACAATGCTGCTCCCGCTGTTACAGAGGTTTCCAGAACAGGTCCGCGTCTCTCTCTTCCACACGCCTAACCTCCGTGGGCTTCTCCGGCTCCTGATCCCTGAGCGCTTTAATGAGACGATCGGCCTGCAGCACATTAAAGTGTACCTCTTTGACAACAATGTCATCTTGAGCGGGTGAGTTAGCTGCCTTCCCTCAAGGGCTTCCCCTTAATATCGTCCAGGGTGGAGGTTAGTGGAACACAGAGAAGGAACGTGGTCATACGTTTCTAGTCTAGTTGTCATACTGCCTCACTGTCTTCTGGTGGCTCTGGCTGTGGCCACTGGAAGCCCACCCGGGGTGCTCAGAAGGGAGCCCTGGCTTCTTGAGCACTTCTTGGATGCTAGCCACTCCTCTGTGCCTAGGTGTGCTGTCACAGGTCATCCTCATGGGGACCCATGTAGTGTTTTCCTCACTTAGTGCGCAGGAGACTAGAGAGGACGAATGACTTCCTTAGGCAGAGCCAGGAACATGGAAGAAACAAACCACAGAGCCACCATGACAGTTCGGGTCCTTTTGATTCTGAAACTTGGGCCCTGGTGATGAGCCCCGGGGGGTAGTTGGCTTTATGAATGTCATTCTTCTCCCAGCTGATTGTTGCCTCAGGGACGGGGCTCTGTGACTCCCTCCTTTGTGTCACCTCATGCCACTCGTGCCTTGTCTTGTGTGAGTGGCCACGCTCAGGGTCTGCTGCCGCCGTGGGGTCCTGACCCGTGTCTGTCGCCGCCCTGCTCCCGCTTGTTCCTGGGCATTAGCTGTCGCATCCTCTCCAGCCTGAGTCCTCACCCACCTCTTTCCTCCCTGCAGCGCGAACCTGAGCGACTCCTACTTCACCAACCGCCAGGACCGCTACGTGTTCTTGCAGGACTGCCCCGAAATTGCGGACTTCTTCACGGAGCTGGTGGACGCAGTGGGGGACGTGTCCCTGCAGTTGCAGGGGGATGACACAGTGCAGGTGGTGGAGGGGATGGTGCACCCTTACAAAGGTACGGTCCTGGGCTCTGCTGCCCTCCCGAGCTTGTGGGTAGGGGTGAGGGCTGAGGGGCGCGCACCTCTGGGAGCCTTGCTGCGGGCTGGCGAGACTTGGGTGGCAGAGCCTCATTCTGCTTTTGTCTCTGAGGCCAGACAGAGGTGACTCACTGGCCACCAGTCATGCTCTGTGGGTCCAGGGAAGGTGGGAGTGTGGGCTTCGGCCTGGGCCTGGGGGAGGGAGCCAGGGGCCTGGCCTACACTTACAGGAAGTAGCCTGCTGACTGACTGCCCTCCCCAGGGCCACTTCCCCAGTGGGGAGCACCGAGGCTCTGTGGCTCTCAGCTCCACTGAGGTCTGTGGCCTCCTGCCTGGAAAGTGAAATGGGAGAGCCCTCAGCTCTGCTCCCTGGAAATAGGCAAACCCTGGCAGCTAGTGTTCCTGGGGGCATTTGCATTCCTGTGATTCCTGTGGTTTCCTGGTGGCCTTTGGGAAGGCCTGCTGCTGAATTTGCAATAGTGTCAGCAATGTGGGGAGGGGTAGACCCTGACCTTATAAGGAGAAGAGCCCCTGTCCTGGGCGCCCAGGGGAGCCCTAGCCCTGGAGCCAGTATGTGATCGGGGTGCCTGCCCTGCCTGCTGCCAGCCTGGATCCTCGGTTATTATTATGATATTTTGAATTTTTATCAATAAAAAATTTGTGGAAATTTGTTTTCTCTCATTATATGAGTGCCTATGTATTTTCCTCAGTTTTGTCCTTTGGCTCGCAAAGCCTGAAATACTTAATATCTGGCCCATGCAGGAAACACTGGCCAACCGCTGGTCTAACTTTACAGGCCAGGCATGAATGTCCAGAGAAGTAGGCCCCACGTCCTGGGAAGGATGGGTCAACATGCTCGGGGGGCAGGTAGGGGTGCCTGGGCAGGCGCAGGTGTACTCAGGGGATCAGGGCAACTCAGAAGGAGCGAACAGATGCAGGGGACACTCGTGACACTCAGAAGGACAGCCTGAGACATGGTGGGGCCAGTGGCTGCCTCTTCCCCCCGTGGGTGCTGCTGTCAGGGAGGGAGGGTTCGCACAGGCCATCCCTTCTGCTTATTCCGGAGCCCACCCCCAGAGGCCCTCACGTGTGGCCCTGTCCCCAGCTGTGAGTGCGTGAGTGCGTCCTGTCCTGTTCCTCTTTGATTCTGGCTCAGCCTTCCCCGAGGCTTGCTTTGCTCAGCTTCCCAGAGGGCCAGCTCTGGGCAGTGTGGACATTCTCTGTTCTCCCATCATTGTCACTCTGTGAACTTTGCTCTTTGCCTGCTCCCCGCTCACACTGTGCTTTTGGTTTTATCCTCACTTCTCAGGTTGGATGCTGGCTCGTTAGTGTTCAGGGTTGTCATCTGCTGATAGCATTTATGGTCATTTCTCGTCTGTCAGTGTGTCTGGACAGCTACCTGTCCCCAGTGTCTTGTGTAGACATGCAGGGTCCCAGCCTGCCTGTCCACGTGCTGCACCTTGGGGGCCCCGCTCCCACTGTCCCACCATGTGGCGCTTGCTCAGCCCACAGTTGTGCCCATGCTTTGTGGCTCACGCTCACATGTACCTTTATTGTTAAACCTTCTCGCTGAAGTACACGCTGAACACCACCCATAGGCGTGCAGTTCACATGCGTGTGCCTCGTGGGCTGGCTCCTGGAAGCGCCCTCCGGTCCCCTCTCAGGCCCTGAATCCCGAGGTTCCACTCCCTTGATTTCTGTCGCCCTCAAGTAGTCTGGCCTGTTTTTGAACTTTATGGGGGGCGCCTAGCTGGTTCAGTTGGATTCATGGTAGAGCAAGTGACTCTTGATCTTGGGGTCGTGACCCACATTGGGTGTGGAGATGACTTAAAAAAAAAATCTTTAAAAAAATGAACTTTTTATAAGTGGAACTGGTAGAGGCCTTTTCCCGTTCCCTGGCGCAGGCTTTTCATGGCCTTTCCTTGGATGTTGATATCCACGGAGGAGCCTTGCTTGGAGCCTGGGGCCAGTGCTCCATTGAAGCATGTCCATAGATGGTCAGTCAGGGCATCTGCACTTGCCTGTCTGTTGCCATGTCCCCGTGCAGGCAAGAGCCAGAGCCTCCACTTTTCCTCCTTCACCCTTCCCTCCCGTGTGTCCCTACAGGTGACCGGGCTGCATACTGCAGGGCGGCCAACAAGAGGGTGATGGATGTGATCAACTCGGCCAGGGCCCGCCAGCAAGTGCTGCACGCCCAGACCTTTCATGGCGACTCCCTCTTGACTCAGGAGGACGCAGCAGCTGCCGGGGACCGGAGGCCAGCCCCCGATACCTGGATTTACCCATTGATCCAGATGAAGCCTTTTGAGATCCAGATTGACGAGATCGTCACGGAGACCCTGTTGACAGAGGCTGAGCGAGGAGCCAAGGTCTATCTCACCACCGGCTACTTCAACCTGACCCAGGCCTACATGGACCTGGTCTTGGGCACTCGGGCCGAGTACCAGATCTTGCTGGCCTCCCCGGAGGTGAACGGCTTCTTCGGAGCCAAGGGGGTGGCGGGGGCCATCCCGGCCGCGTACGTGCACATCGAGCGACAGTTCTTCAGTGAGGTGTGCAGCCTGGGGCAGCAGGAGCGGGTCCAGCTGCAGGAGTACTGGCGGCGGGGCTGGACGTTCCACGCCAAAGGTATGCAGTCAGCGCCGGGCCCTCCTCCTCTCTCGTCCTCCCGGCAGCCGCGTGCACGTGCCACCTCCTATCTGAGAGTTTCAGTTGTGCACATTTCTCCCTCTCGTGCTCCCAGAACTTAACGCGGATGACATGGGTGGCCGTTTCAGGAAGTGCGCACGGAACTTCTCGGGGGTGGGGGTGGAGAGGCCCATGCCGTCGCCTTCCCTGGTCGGCGGTCTCCCCTGCATCGGCTGGGCCCTTCTCAGGGACAGAGGATGTGTTGGGGATGAATTATTTGGTATTAAACAGTCTGGTTTTTCAGTCTTTCCCTCCCCACTGTGGTTCTTTTTCCTCTTTGTGAATCCTCAGCTTTTTTTCCATAGCTGAGGAAGTCGAGGCCACGTCCTTTCCATTCTGAGCCGTGCGGCGCTGCTCATACGTGGGTCATGGTCTGAACTGCATGTGGATTACGATCCCCACAGGCATCAGTGCATTCCTGGGGCAGCCCACGCGTGCCATAATCCCAGGGCCGCGGTCTGAGACGGCGATAAACGGGTTTAAAACCTTATGCTGAGCAGAGGGATTATCCCCACTGCTGCTCGCTATTTTGAGGGCACCTGCCTGTGGGGCGGAGTCCCTCCTGATGCTCCAGGGGCCACACAACCGAGCTGCTTAGTCCTGTGGCTGAAGAAAAGTGACCGACGCAGAGAGCCTCTGGCCACGGGTGACGTGTGGTTTTTCTGGCTTCTCTTTGGTGGTCAGAGGCTGTTTTGCTCCTGGGCTGGTCCTGGAGTCTTGCAGAAGGGCTGATGGAGGAGGGGGTGGTGTTCTCTCAGTCTCTGGTCTCTGCCTGGGAGTCCAGCCTGCAGATCGCCACAGCCACTTGTCTGCATTGTTTAGATTTGAGGTCATTTTGGGATCATTGCCTGGGTCGAAGTCTTTTTTTTCTTACATCAGTGGTTTTCACCTGGGGATACGTTAAAAGAAATATTAAAGCCCAGACTGCCCTCCTCAGTCTCTTGAATCCAGCTCTCTGGGGACAAATCCAATGTGGTATTTTTTTTCAAACAAAACAAAACAACTCCCCAGGAGTTTCTGAGGCCTTAAGAATCACTGATAGAGCTTCTGGCCTCCCGGGTGGTTCCCACTTCCTGCTGGGAGGCCCACTACCTGGGCAGGTGGCCTCGTTGGGTGTGGGAAGTGGACTACCTCATTGTGCTGTCGGGCTGAGCCAGGCAGGTGGTCAGATGCCTCAGGGCTGGCAGGGCTAACCAGGGACGAGGTGTGGAAAGTATTTTAGGGTTGGTTTTGTTCCTTATGAGAACGGCGAAGGTGCCTGGGCACGTGGTATTGAAGACTGAGCTGAAAGGTGGAGGAAGCTTTGTTCTTTGGAGGGGACATGTGTCTAGGGAGCAGTGCAGGGGACGCCTAGATAGCGCTCCCTCCTCGTCTGTCCTGGGGCACTTGGGGCCCCCCAGCTCAGCCTGGCCTGATGGTTCTGACTGGGCCGTGGGTTATTTCCCTGAAGTGGGCAGTACTGATAAGTGAGCAGTGACACCCTCCCCCCTCCTTCCCCCATTTACTGTTGAAACAGAAACACCCAACCGGCTCTTCCAGTGTGGCTCACCTGTTCCCGGACAGGCATGCTTCTGCCCCGCCCCAGGTGGGGCCTTGCACTTTGGGAGCACTGGATTAGTGGGGAAGGCCAGGAATCCCAGGCCACGTGTGCGTGTGCGTGTGCGTGTGCGTGTGTGTGTGTGTGTGTGTGTATGAATGAGAGTGTGTGTGAGAGAGAGGGAATGGGGGATGTGGTACATGAGCAGGGAGGCCAGGAGTCAGAGGTCAGAGGTCGGTCAGTGCTGAAGTCAGAGGCCAGGGTCCTTTCCTGTGATTGAGATCGATAGTTGGGGGGTCCTTAAGTCAGCCCCCTTTTCTGGTTCATTCCTGGATGCTCATTTTCCCCAAAGCAGCCTAGGAGAGGAGCAGGCAGCCCAGGTGGTGGCTGGGGTGGGTGGTTGGGTTTACTGGCTGTCTACTCTCTGCAAGGCCTGTGCTGGGTACAGGTGGTGTGTCGGTTTATTCCTGCTGAGGGCTGAGCACCCGCTACCCTGAGCCTTACCCACACTCCTGCAGGACAGGCCTGGCTCATCTCGGCTCCCAGTGCTCCCATAAGCCCTTGGTGAGGAGAGTGAACCGGGGTCCCATGTTCGCAGCGTCCACATCCTTGTGGCTCTAACAGCCCCCCCCCCACCCCAGTCAGTCAGGGAGGGACTCGGTGTTGAACCTGATGGTGACCCCATGGGGTGAAGTGATGCAGGAACACTTTGCGTGGGCCCTGCCCGCGGGCAGCCAGCACGCTTGGCAGGAGGCATCCTCCTCATGGAAGTGACCACACCGGGCAGCAAGTGCCAGTGGATAGCAGCTCAGCCTGATGGCAGGAGGTTCCAAGGACTAGGGTGTATCCTTCAGTCCTTCCCGGCTCATCAAGGATGGGGGCATATCAAGCGGTGGGTTCAGAGGCCTCGTTGGAAGGACCTTGTGGGAGGTGACTCCTGTGGAGGCAGTGATTCTTCTGTTTGGTGGGCTCCTGAGTAGAGGCACGTCTCACTGGTGTGCTTTGCTGATGCCTTAGCCGACTTGAGTATTTGTCATTTTAATGTTGCTTCGAAGTACCAGAGAAACCTTCCACTATTTAAAGGCATGTACTCGAGAGACTTTTGCAACGTGGTTTGTTAAGGTTTCTTTGGGTTTTTGCAAAGGCCACCTATTCAGAAAGCTGAGGGAGGGGAGCCCCTTGTACTTGCAATGGGCTGGAGAGGCCATCAGACTTGGATTCTTGAAGCCTAGTTTTCAGCCCAAATTTACCTTTGGCAAACGTGGAGGGACCTGGTCCAACCTCTGTGTGACACGGGGTGATGGCATTGGTTCGCCCTCAGGAGAGTACGGTGACCTGACATGCATTCTGTCGGGGTTTCTAGTGGCCAAGAGGGAGGTGGCCCTGGGGGTCGTGGGGTGGGCGCTGGAACACACAGGGCCCAGAGGCTCATGGGCTGCAAGTGGGCTGCTGGTGGATGGGCCTGGGGCGGGGGCGGGGGGGTCCTGCATCTCTTGGGGAGGAGAGGTGTCCTTGTCACCTGTGATTTTGTTGCTGCCCCCGCCCCGTGGGTCCCTGAAGGACACTGCTGAAGCTGGAGGTCTTAGCTGCATCTTCTTGACCTCTGGAGGGGTGGCTGGGGGGCGGGCTGGCTGGAGGTCCGTGTTAGACACGAGGCCGCCAGCAGCCCCTCAGGTTCGTGCCTGGGCCATTTCCTGTGGCCTGGCCCTCACTCCTTTCCCCATAGGCGGGGTGCACTGAGGCTCTGTGAGCTGGAAGCACCTGGAATGCTGCGGGACGGTCACCTGAGTTGGCGCTGGGTGTCTGTATTTTTTTTTTTTCAATCTGTGCTTTCATTTGTTTTGCATTTGGTGCCGAGCACAGCAGTTCACAGCTCGTGTAGTTACAGTTAGCCTTTTAAGTGAAGATGTATACTTATTTTATGTATTTATTTATTTGATAGACACAGCCAGAGAGGGAACACAAGCAGGGGGAGTGGGAGGGGGAGAAGCAGGATTCCCGCGGAGCAGGGAGCCTGATGTGGGGCTCGATCCCAGGACCCCGGGATCATGACCTGAGCCGAAGGCAGATGCTTAATGACTGAGCCACCCAGATGCCCCTAAAAGACTTAATTTCTTTAGAGTGGTTTGGGGTCAGAACAAAATTGAGGGGAAGGTAGAGAGATTTCTCACACACCGCGCCCTACTCACGCCCAGGCTCCCCGCTGTCAGCATCCAGCAGCGGAGAGTACGCTCGTAACTGATGAACCGGCGTTGACACACTGTCATCCCCCAGAGTCCACACTTCTATCTGGGGTCATCCTGGTGGTGTGCATTCATGGGCTCACGCGGGTGAGGACATATATCTGTCATCACAGTGTCACACAAGCTTTCACTGCCCTGAACATCCTCTGTGCTTCCTGTCTGTCCCTGACTCTGACAGTTCCATATTGTCACCTTTCCCAGAATGTCATACAGTTGGACTCACACCGTCTGTTGCCGTTTCACACTGGCTGTTTTACTAGTAATGGGTGTTTAAGGTTCTTTTTTTTTTTTTTTTTTTTTAAAGATTTTATTTATTTGAGAGAGAGAGAGAGTGAGGGGAGGAGCAGAGGGGGAGAGGGAGGGACAAGCAGATTCAGGCAGATTCCCCGATGCAGGCTCGATCCCATGACCCCAAGATCATTACCTGATCCGAAAGCAAGAGTCGGCGGGTTAGCTGAGCCACCCAGGCGCCCGCGTTTAAGGTCCTTAAACCTTACGGCTTTTCATGGCTGGATAGCTCTTTCCTTTTAGTGCGTATAGCATTCCCTTGTCTGGATGGACTACAGTTTGTTTATTCATCCATCCACCTACTGAAGGACATCTCGGTGGCTTACAGGGATTTGCCTTTTAAACCTGGTCCTGGTGGACAGCGGGGTCTGGGGCCAGGTGCACAATGGCTGTCAGTGGTTGTAAGCACTGTATCTGTCATGTGCCAACGAACTAATCTCTCTAGGTCTTGGGGAGGCAGCAGCCCCAGAGGAGCCTGAGTGGGGATGACAGATGTGTCTTTTGGGCCTGGTTCTCACGTCTCCTGCTCCCTGGAGAGGAGTGGGCCTGAGCTGTGCCCGGTGCCGTCGCGGGACTTCTGGCTGGAGAGGCACACAGCCCCTTGGGGCAGGGGCCACGTCCACGCTGGGGGACGTCTCAGGGGAGGATCAGAAAATGAGCTTTGAGGTGTTGCCTTGGATCTCATCTGGTGCAGTACCCTAGCACTAACAGCCCAATGTGTGTGGCCAGGGCGGGGCAGGCCATTGGATTAAGAGATTTCTGGCTCCTGCTGACAGAGGAATCTGTTAATGATTGTGAGAATTGTCACTATATTTACTGCTTTCCCGACAGGCGGCTTGGCATAGTGCCCAAAGGTGAGCTTGCAGTGCGAGCTGGGGCAGCTCCATCCTGTGTGTCCGGGGCACACGTGCCTCCCCCGGGCGCCGACAGGTGTGCGCTGGGGCGGGGCCGCACCCGCACTGACCGCTCTGCGGGGGAGGGGCAGGCCCGGCCTCCCGGCCTCGGGAAGTGGCCCGGAGTGTAACAGGCAAGTGCTTAGCCCTCTGAGGTCGGGACTGTGGTGTCTCCTGTCCCCTTGTATTTTTGTAGGGGTCTGAGAATCCTCTGAAATTTGTCGCGGAATATTGTGGCAAAGGTGAAGGAGGGGGCATAAGTTGACATTTTTCTTGGAGAGAGCCTCAGGGAAGTTCTCCCACCAGAAATAGTCGTGAGCTCCTGATTTAGAAGTCAGTTTTTTGTACTTAATTTTATCATCGTGTGTTGGAAGATCACCGTTAGCCTCATTTATTTTGTTCAAACAAGTATTTATGTAGAGTCTGCCGTGTGCCAGGCAGCATTCAGGGTGTTGGGAACCAGTCACTGGGGACCAGACAAAGCCCCTGCCCTCCCCAGGCGTCTGTTTCGTTTAACAGGAAGCAGATACAAACAGATTCATCTGTTCAAATATAAGGTCAGGTAGGGAAATGGGTTATGTAGAAGACCAGAGCAGAAGGAGGAATCCGGGCCGATGGGGGTCTGTTAGATGCGGGGGGGAGGGTGGTTGGGAAGGCCTCTCTGCGGAGGGGACACTTGCTGAGCACAGACCCTGGCTGGAGGGTCCAGGTGGAGGGCCCAGGAATGTGAGGCCCCGAGACCATGCTAGGCATGAGGAGGAGTGAGGGGGCAGGTCTGGAGGGAGTGAGGCCAGAAGGCGGCCGGGCCATGGGAAAAGCTCAGAGGACTGGTGAGGGAGCTCTGTGGGAGCCCTTGGGCCATCTGGTTTACCCTGCATCGAGGTGCTGGGACCGTGTGGAGGAGGGACCGTAGGCGCGGGCAGAGCACAAGAAGCAGCCGGGGCAGGCAGTGAGGGTTCTCGTTGTGGAGCTGGGAGCCCGCAGAAGTCTTGGGACTCAGTTCAGTCATCTGTGTATCCCCAGCACGCTCCCTCTGGGGCTGAGGACTGCCCATGGCCAGTCCCCTCCCGTGCTGTCGCTCCTGCTGCGGAGTCTCTCCCAGTCTGGTGGGTCCTAGATTGGTAGAGGTGTTGGGCACAAAGGTCAGGCCCTGGGCTTGATAACAGGCTTATGGCCCTGCTGGGAAGTGCGAGAGCCCCCGCCCTGCCCCTCACCCTCCCAGTGTGCTCAGGCTCCCAGTGAGGGATGCACCCTCTTGAGTCCCTCCCTGAATGAAGGTTTCCTGGCTGTCCTCCCAGCCTGGCCCAGCAGCAGAAACGTCCCACCTTTGGAGAGCTTGCACCCTGAAGGGCTGGCTGTTCATGGGGCGGTGTGTTGAGCTCCTGGGGCACAGCACCACGTGGCCTCAACATCAGTGGTCTTTATGTCCTTTTGGATGGAGAAAGATCACAGTCCACATGGGTCTACAGGGGAAGCAGTGGGGCGGTTGCGGGCCTCACCAAGGCGGCCAATAGGTTCAAAATGCGTGCTGCCCATCACTTGCATATGCTCTCCCGAGGCCAGCCTGGGCCAGAGACAAAAGCCGAAAGAAGACAGGTGTCTGTTGTGCCTTCCCAGTGGGGTGATTGTGGCGGGTGAGGGCTGAGAAGCTCTTGTCTCACGAAATGTAGAGCCCAGGCAACCTCTGTGCAGCACATGGACGTGTATCAGTGAGAGAGAGCTTTCCTTCGGGGCTGGGGTGCAGTGGTGCGAAGACCTGCTGGCGTGGGCCGGGCCTGGGCCAACTGCCTCTCATGGCTGGCCCCTAGGTTGCCTTGTGAGGAAGAGATCTACATTTAGGCAGATTTCAGAAATAAAATATACGCCTAAGACCAGGTCTTTTCAGTCTTGCCCAGCAGGCCCTGTGGTCCAGGAGCCTTGGATGGACACACCGAGGGTGGCATGATTCACATCAGCTTTAGCCTACATCAGCCACATGGGTATCGGGCCTCCCTGCTGTGTGTGTGCTCTGTCCCTGTCTGAGCGGACTCTGGAGAGCCGGCTGGACGAGGAGCACTGAGCGTCCCCGGTGCTTTTGAGTCTTTCAGATTGTGACATCACAAGAGTTGGAACAGCAGTGGCCGTTGGAAAGCTCTGAGGCTGGAGGAGGTCTGCCCCTGGCCCTGGCCCCGGCCCCAAGCCTCAGGCTCTGTGCAGAGGTGGGGTGGGAGAGGCTGAGCCTAGCAAAGGAGGAGAGCCAGCACTGCAGCGGTCAAGGCTCAGCCATTCTGCCCAGACCTCCCCAGGCATGTGGAACAGTGCCAGGGGCCAGCCGGCACACCCCTGTGGTCTCTTGACAGGAGATAAGGTGAGCCCCACGATTGCCTACACAGCACTGGCCCCGTGGGGTGGTACAGTTGTCTGAACGACACACACAGGCAGGCAGGCAGGCAGGCGGCTTTGATGTGGCCCCGTGTGGGGGTGAGGGTCGAGCACATTACAGGAACAGACAGCAGAGCATCGTCATCTCTTACCCAAGGTATTCTTGGAAATGCTCTTGCTCTGAGTGAGAATTAGGAAATGGCCTTCTATTTTAGGCTCCTTGGTGTGTATTACATGTTGTTGATTTGCTCATGATGGTCATGTGTGCCTGTGGGCCTTTGAAAGGGTCATGTTGGCAGAGGGGAGACCAGCGGTGGTGGGAGGGCATGAGGAGGCTGGCTCTGATCAGGGGAGCCTTGCACGGAGCCGGGGCCAACTTCAGCACCGGACAATAGGCTGAGTTTTCTGGGCTGAGCGTTTTTGGTGCTAGTGAGGGTGTAGTGTGGAGGAAAAGACAGAGGTCAGACCCAAGTTTGGGCTCCCCTGGGAGAAAGGAAGTCTGGGGCAGCAGATGTCCTGGGAAGGTCAGGTTTTGGGAGTAGTCTCTTTAGGAGAAGTAGTTGTGACGGCCTCCCAAGCAAGCAGGCCTTGGGACTTGGGGGAGGGGACAGTGTGGGGGACCAGGTGCACAGCAGACCCAGCTGCCTGTTGTCTGTTTCGAGGGACAGGTTAGGATTCTGAGACAATCCGCAGCCTTCACGACGCACATGTCAGCATGCTGGGGGACGAGGCAGGACCCCGTCCCCCTACCCCATGGCTGGTCATACCATGTCCTGCTTTTTGTCTGGCTGTGCTGTCAGCCGGCTCATTTCCTAGCAGAAAAGGGGAAGTGGTGTTCTCTATCCCAGTGGGATAGAAACTTACAGGACCTCTTAGGTTCTCTTCTCCACTGGCCTCTAGTGGACTTCAGGTGTCTGGCTTGGATGGCCCTGAGTCCCTAGCAGGGACTAGGGACTCAGGGACGATGTCCTTTTGGGTGTGGTGTGTCAGGAGCCCGAAATGGAGAATTGTGTGTCCCTGGGTGGGAAGAGATGCAGAATGGAGTAACCTGTACTTACCAAGAGCCTTTGTATCCCCCGCCCCTGTGGAACAGCCCCATGCCCACGGACTTGGGTAGGAGGATTGCTCTTCCCTAGGCTTCTTCTTAGCACAGTGGGGGTGTCTTTCCTGAGACGCAGGTATGGACTTTGTCCCCTCGGTGCTTGTGGCAGGACCATGGAGCCTCTGGCCAGGGTGGGCTCCCCGTTCCGATGGCCGGGATGTGGCCAAGGCAGTTCAGAGAGCGGGTATCAGAGGCCCTGAGATCTCTGGGAGGGGCTGTGGTTAGCATGGGGTGGTGAGAGCAGAACCTGAGCACAGGCCTCCCGGGGCTTCCTGAAGGACCTACCTCTCGCTGTGCTTGGGCAAGAGAGGAGGCAGCGTCCTCCCAGGAACGCGGGCCGCCCCAGGTCCCTGCCCTCCATGCAGCGTCTGACCACTTGTTCCCAGCAGGGCTGCTTTTCTCTTAGGTTGAACGAAGCGTGGAGAGGCTCTTGGCTGATGCTGTGCTCATTTCCTGTCTGCACGTTTCCTTTTCCCTGCAGGCCTCTGGCTGTACCTGGCAGGGAGCAGCCTGCCCTGTCTCACGTTGATTGGCTCTCCTAATTTTGGGTACAGGTCGGTTCACCGGGACCTGGAGGCCCAGATCGCCATAGTGACGGAGAGCCGGGCCCTGCAGCAGCAGCTTCACCAGGTTGGTCGGGACGATGGGATTTCCCGGGCAGAGTGGGGGGTAGCTGGGTGCTCAGCCTTGCCTGAGTTGCTGCGTCCCCTGAGAACGGTCCCTGCTGTCATCTTGAGTGTGAGAAAGAACCCGAGTCCTCACAAGCCTGCTGGTGGCCGGAAGGCCGGTCCCAAGAGAAGCCCGCCACAGGTCCGCCCTTAGAAGCTACGTGCCCTCCTGCCCCCCTTCCGCTGAGCCGCTCCTGCCCCACGCCCCCAAGAGCTCCCTCCGGTGCGGGCAAGAGCACTGTTCACTCACCCGGACACCCCAGCCTCTAGCAAGAATGCAGGTCAGCCGTAGCGGGTGTGTGGGGGAGGAGCCAGGCTCACTCAGGCCCCAGGACCACCAGCAGGACCTCCGCAGGCCGGCCGGGAAGGCAGAACGGGCACTCAGGGCGCCAGCCGCCTCTGTGAGTAGAGACAGAAGAGGCAGGCCTCAGGAAGCAGCCTGAGCGCCCGTGCACAGGGGCTTCGTGGAGAGGGGAGTAATTTCAAGGGCATGGGCAGCCCCGTCCTCCGTCTCTGAGCCGTAGAGTCCGTGTGCACCTGTCACCTGGATTCTGTCTCACTCCACATTGTCTCCTTGCGGGGCGCTCTGGCTGGGGAATGGGTGCACTGGGAACGGCGCGGAGGGCCTGCGGGTGTGCGGAGTCTGGAGGTGGGCGATGTGAGGGCGGGCAGAAACTCTTGGCTGCCTTGGCACCTTACCCCTGGCCAGGGGATGGTGATCGGCAAAGCAGGTCCCTTTTTCCTTGGGGAGTTCCAGTGTCTTGGAGTTTCTTGTCCTCATGCTCACAGTTGTAATAGGGCTTCTGTCCTTCTGTCCTTCTGTCCATGAGGGGGAGAAGCAAGTGTTCTCCTGAGCATGGGAGCTGGGGGCTCAGGAAACCTAATCCACTCTGGCTGGCTCAGCCTGTGGGGTGCACTGGACATCGGGCGCAGGTGGCCAGCCCAGGACCCACCTGCTCCCCTTGGAAGATACAGGTTGGGCCCGTGTTCTCAGCCACTTGGAAGTGAGGAGAGCAGCCCTTTCTCGAGCTGGGCTTGGAGAGCCTGAGCCCCGTACTGCCGGCTGGCTAACGGCCCAGAGAAGCAGGGGGAGAACCCCATTTCCTCACTGGGGCAGGGATGCAGGGTGGTTCCCCAAGGGTCAGCAGCTATGTCGGCCGTCCTTCTGTGGTGGAATATTTTGTTTTCTGTCTAGAGAAAAACAAAGTTGCTGAGAATTCGTTAGTGCTTTTGTGGGACTGCGTGTGTGGTGGCCTGTGGGAGAGTGCGAGCCCCGTGCCGTGCACGTGAGAGTGGGGCGGTGCCGTGCGCTCCTGTCTGTGACCTTTACGGCAGAGCCTTTCCATGGAGGGGGCCAGCTTCCCTCCTGAGTCACAGGAACACAGATAACGCTGCTGTGGGCCAGACCTCAGAAGCCTCGGCTGTTGACTTTGTGGAGCTTGTATTCTCCAGTGTTTGGGAATGACTGTTGCGAAACTGTGGGAGCCTTTGTTGCTGGACAAGGACACGGTAACTGCCTTGTCCCTGGGACCTGCCTTCTGCCGTCTGGGAATCCTGTCGGCGGCCCAGTGGGGCCGTGGTGCCGGGAAGGCCTTCACGACGAGGGGCCAGAGGAAGTGGCGGTGGTTGCGCTCTGGGTGGCCAGTGCGGAATCTGAGCCGCTCAGCAGGTTTCTTGCTACCGTGAGGCTTCCAGAAAATGAGGAGGTCTCACAGTTGAGGCTCCAGTCGGAGTCACTGGTGCGAGAGGGGCAGGGCCGCACCCCAGTGGGGTCTACTGGACTTCTGGACCAGTTGCAGAGACGCCTCGGTCTGTGAGCCCCTGCCCTGGGGCAGTAGAGTTGTGGGTGTGAACCAGGCCTCAGGCCAGGACCAGTTCCCCAGAGATCTGGGTTGATTTGTGGGGGCAAGTCCCCCAGGCCTGTGCCCAGGGTCCTAGTACTGGCCCCTCTCCCCGACCTCCTGAGTGAGGGGATTGAACCCACATCCTGGATCTGGAGAGAAGCTGGGCCGGTTGTGGTCAGGAACTGTTTTCCCAAATGACATATTTGGGATATTTTCCTTTTCTTCCCAAACCTGAATCCCAGGGGCTTTAGGTTGTGGGAGGGTGGCAGTTCACGCCCCTGCAGCTCTTCCTTTCTTCCGAGGCACACTGATTTCTGTGCTTTTGAAATGCAGAAACGTGTTTCTAGATAATTCCACCTATATACTTAGATGCTGGGACTGCAGCCCCCCACTCCTGCCAGGTGGCCCTACAGTGCCTGGTCCTTGGACTGCCCGGCCACACAACCTCCCCACGGCCCAGAAAGTCCCTAGAACCCCGGCCACCCGTGTCCCTGCTCCCTGTCTTCTCGGGAAGATACAGGGAAGGGCCCTATTTGTATCGCACTGGGAATGGAGAGATATTTTTATCAGAATCCGAAGCCCCTCCCTTCACTTAGTACGCACTATAAAAACTGAAAGCTTCCTGGTTTTGTTCAGAGAACACGGTTTACCACTTGTGACCTGAGAAAGACCCCCTCGAACAGCATTGTAACTTTGATCAGCTGACTTCCTTCTCCAGCCCTGTTGTGGGGTCTGTGAGGAACCTTAAGTGTTTCTGGTAATTTAATTGAAATCTTGGCTGAGTATTTGTTTGAAAGCATAAAGCTGGAGCTGGGTCTGTGGAGAATTCTGCAGGCTCGCCCCCCGGGCCCCAGGCGCCTCCTCCGTCAGGCACGTCCAGCCAGGGCCCGGGGCCCTCGCCTCTGGCAGCCAAGAGCCCGCTTGGCTTGGAAGTGCTGCATGGACCCTGGCTTCGAGAGAGTGGAGAGGGCATGAGCCTGAAAACCATGCAGAGAAAGTCGGGGTCCTGGGTCTGCCTGGACGGGAAAGCTGTGGACACTTCCCGCCGAGTCCTCTGTCCCCCGTTCTTGCTGGGTCATCCCTGCCCCCAGGGAAGAGCCCGTTCAGCTCCCCGGGTGGGTCCAGCAGCATCATCCCAGTGCTCCCTCTGGCGCTCCTGGGCTCACAGCGGGCCCTGTTTTCAAGGCCATTCTGTCGGGTCCTCATGATGGCGCGGGCTAGTCGGTATTTTCCAGACCAAGGGATGCAAGATCGAGAGTGATCGCCCTCTCAGCCCCGAGTGGTGGGAACCAGTAGGATCACTTCCTGACCACTTCGTCAAATACCTTACTAATTAGGAAACACGGGACTTGGAGGGTGTATTGTTTAAGAAAGTGTTTTCTCTCAAAGATTCTGAGCACAGTTTAAGAGAAGGCTTATACAAGTGTTTTCAAACCCATTTTTAAGTATAAAATAAACGTGCATTGTAAAAATTCAGAAAAATTGGAAGACACCTGCCTCTGCTTTCAGCGATGTCCCTGAAGTCACTCCAAGGATTCCCTCTTGTTCTCGGTGTGTGGAAAGGCGTGACCGGTCTTTTTAATGAAATTAGGATTATATTCTCTGTGTCGTCTTCTAGAACACGATCAGCGTGTGGTGCGTGCTGGTTCGTCACACGGGTTTATTATCTTTAATTAGTTGTGGACATTTAGGTGGTTTCCATTTTTCCCTATCATAAATGTCGCTGTGACAGATGGCAGCACACAGAGATCTGGAGTGCATGGCTTTTTTCTTGGGATAAATTCCTGCAAGGGGCGCTTCTTAAGGCTTTGATACCTTTTGCCAAGTTGCTCTCTGGGAAGATGCCGTGACCCCGTCTCCGGCAGCAGAGCACATGGCCTCTTTCGGCTCAGGGTCACTGCAAGACAGAAGAGCTTTTTGCCAACTTGAGAAAAGAGAAACCTCCCATTTCAAGAACGTGTCTTTAAGTTGCACAGCCTTATTTAGTGAGGGTGATTGTGTGCTTTTTTTCTGCCAGCTCTACTTCACTCCACGTCATCTACTCCACACACGTTGGTCTTAAAAGGGTAGAGACGCGGGCTTCTTAGCTTCCTCGCTAGGGCAGGTTTGACAGGGCGGCTCGCAGGCTGCCTCCCCTGCCTGGCGCCCCAGCACCCCTGCGCCCCAGCGCCCAAGCCGGCTCCACATGGGACGTCGGGGCTGATGGGCCATGTCACCTGGTGCTGTGGGGGACCCTAATGCCTGTTTGTTCCTCTCCCTCAGGAGCAGGAGCAGCTCTACCTGCGCTCAGGTGTGGTGTCGTCCGCTACCTTTGAGCAGCCGAGTCGGCAGGTGAAGCTGTGGGTGAAGATGGTGACTCCGCTGATTAAGAACTTCTTCTGAGGACGACAGGTGCTGTCTTGCGAGGCCACGTGTGGGGCCGGGGCTTCTGTCTCGGGGGAGGGGGTTCCCACGACCTCTGTCCCGCGGGTCACCATGGTTGTCACCAGAGTTTTCCAGGCCTGGAGCTAGATTGGGTGGCCCTGTCACCTCACGCCAGCACTGCGGCCCAGGCTGGCATCACTGAGCGGGCGGCCAGGGCGGTGGGAGCAGGAGGGACGCTCGGTGACAGGACATGCTCTGCCCACGTGGGAGGAGCTGCCACTAGGGATGGAGGCTTCCGCTTAGCGCCCGGAGCCACCGGCTGTGGCCCACGGTGGGACGCGAGCAAGGCTGACCCAGGCTGCTGCTTGGCTGTGCGGCTGCCGGTAGAGGAGGGGCCTCTCCCGAGTGACCCTGCCCGCCCCCCGGATGGCCCCAGCGGGGACCCGTCTCCCGGCTCTGGGTGGGGATGTTGGGCAGCCAGCCCAGGTGCGGGGAAGGGGTGCACACGGTTGCACAGCGGGGGCTCCCTTGGGTGCTGGTGCCGGGCTTCTTTCATTAAAACAAAAACATATTTAATTTCATTATTTAGTTTTTCCTCCATATTTTCATTACTTATTTTATTATTTTATTCCAATAATATACAAATTTAGAAAGAAATGGTAGAGATCCGACACCGAGCAGCTAGTTCCTGCCTCTCTTGCCTCCCGAGCAGCCACTTTTGACTCTCCTGTTTCTTCTGACATTTGCATACTGGTCTGTATTTCTAGATAATATGCATATATTGCCACCCCCCCAAATATAAAGTCTCATAAAAAACCCCACCCCAAACCTTGTACCAGTATTACCCCTGACTGAAACATGCGCAAGAATACCTTAGTGTCATCAAATACCCCGAACGTGCTCACAGTTTCAGTTCGCCTTATATTTTTTATTTTATTAAAATTTTTCTGTGTGTTTGACTTGAGGTTCCGGGTAAGGTCCAGACCTTGTATGATATGGTGATGTGTCACCTAAGTCTCTTTTCATCTGTGGGTTTCCCTCATTTTTTTTTCTTTGCAAATTTTTTAAGAATGAACCTCATTTTTGTTGCATCTGCCTAAAACATGGTTTGTGTCATCTCACAGCAGGGCATCTTCAAAACACGTAGCATGTAGATTTGTCACAGGCCAGGGTGCCCCCCTCTCCCCGCCACTGCCCTATGTCTCCAGGAGCAGATTTCAAAACCTTGCTGCCCAATCTCTACATCTCCAGGTGCTTGAACCTTCACAGAGAAAGACCTTCCTGAGAGAAGGCCTTCGGGCCCCAGGGTATGGCAGCTCCTCCTTTGTCAGGGCGGGTTGCTTTCCACTCTGCACGTTGCCCTGGAAGCCGCTTCACGTGGCTCCCTCCCGAGGACTGGCGGCTGCCGATGGTCCCCTTCGTGGGCTCTGGAAGGCGTGATTGGCCTCGTCCGCACAGCCTGGCTGTGTGCATGGGGTGCCCCAGTGCTGGGAGCCTCGGCGAAGGCTGAGAGTGAGTGCAGCCCCTCCCCGCCAGGGCCGGCAGATCTGCAGGCTTTAGTGGGTGGGAAGCGGGTGGACTGGTGGCCGTGGCCACACTGCTCCGGGGCAGCAGCACGTCCGTTAACACTGTTTGTCTTCAAACTAGTTATTAAATTGTCCTGTGGGACAGTTAGACTAGAGAAGCCAAAAGAATGTGCCAGGGCACTGGGTTTCTGTTTGGAGAGAGGCTTTTGGTAAACAGCGTTCACATTCCTGCAGATTCTGTGGGACCAGAGTCAACATTGTGCCATGGCCCGGCTTGAGCCCGGCTTGAGCAATCGGGGCCTGTGTCCTCCATGCTCAGCTGCTCCCTTTGTCTCTGCTAACCACCTCAGGCCTGCCC